TACCTGTATATAATTTGTAGTTAGTTTAAGTTGCGTAAACAGCAGAGAACAAACGTTCACTAGACGTAATGGGCGTCAGCCCATTGACTCTCGAACCATTTACCTAATCTACTTGACGCATCTGAGTACATGTAAACCCTTCGATTGAATATTTCCTACAAAACAACGCATACAAGTCAAAAATACTTGATTTATGTTAGAGCACTATTTTCGTGCTCTAACTCATTACCGGTGAGACGATATGCTCAGCCGTAGCACTTTATACAACGTTTTATGGAGTGCTTATCCGAATCAGCCATCGAACGTTGTTTCAAAGTCATCCACTAAAGTTAGCCATTGTCTATATATGCGTCCAACTTCCTGCACGGTGATTGGTGACAAAGGGCAGCAGCTCTCGTGCAAATAACTTAGTATAGTTGTTACTTTTGCCTGTACCAAGCTAATACTGAACCCTGTAAGACAGGAATTAACAGTTGTTGCTAGCTGTTAAAATAGTCAACATTTTTTCCTACCAAATGTTTTTCACAAACATACCCGTCTAAATGATTTTGGTACTAAATTGACTACAGGAGTAGCTGGAAACTCATTGAAATAAATTAATGGGATCGCTTCACGCTACGCAAAAGACTAAACAAACCTGATTTGAAATAAAAGGCTATACTACAATGTTCAATAAAATACCCCATTCGTCGAAAGTTATGTTTACTTTTCAGCGTCGCTATTTGCCATTATTATCTCACAGGTTACCTTCAGAGGGATAATATATTAGGAAGGCACATGGAATCGTCAGTTTGATCTAAAGCACATAGACTGAATAGTGCTAGTCGGCTTACTGAATTCTATACATTGAAAAAATGGAAAAACATTTCAAAAAAAAAGAAAAACGTGTACTGCATGCTAACCAAGTACCATTCCCTTTCTGTAATTTACGTACGCAATCGTTCTCTTTTTAAAATTCAAGTGGCGAAAGCTTTGATTTTTCAGCGACTGTTACTTATTACTGTGAGCCGTAGATGGCAAGTACAGTAAACATACGTGATCCTATTTACTAAACTACATTTACTGTTACATCCGCTGTATCACATTATTATCACATTCGTGTGTAGCAAGCTGATTAAGGAAACACCGTAAATTTTCTATTCTTGGTGTATAAACACACATGTTGAACGTTGGATATTAAACACATCTTTTTACTTTAAAATCCTTCCATTCAATATTGGCAAACAGTCCAGAAAAATCCTATTTATACAAGTTATATTAGATTGTGACTAACGCTTCTTACCTTCTCGATTTTTCCCTGTCACTCCAGTAGGCTGTCTTTTACCTATATAGTCTGTTTTTTAACTGAGACCCCACGGTGAGGTATAAGGACTCCGTAGCGGGACCGATCAGGTTGGCAAAATTAAATTTGGATTGGAGAGCAGCGATCGTTCGATGCACCTCGATTCCAACCAACGACGGACCTCGCAAACAGTCAGTCTCAAGACCTCACCTTCAGAAGACTTCTGAGGGGAGGGAACGAAGAGCTAGTTTCCAAAAAGTAACATCCGTGACATCTTCTAGTGCCTATTCCAGTAGCGTTCCTTAAATGTAGGCAGCTCGAGAAAACAGGATTTTTCCTTGCCCGATCAATGCTTTGAAGGTCTTCGCTTTTTAGCTTTCCATCTCCTTCCCATTTTCTGCCTCTCCCTTTTGTGAAGGTTCCTATGTGACGCCGTTATTGAGCAACTTGTCTCCTACTTCATTGTCATTTTCCTCTTTGTATTTTATATGTGGAATGAAATGCGGCGAATTTTGAGGCAGCGTTTCAATATTCGACGTTCGTTAGTTGTTACTGCTGCCATAGAAACTGTGTCCTGCTCCAGTTCAAATTATCCGACTTTTACTAATTCCGGTGGTTCTCGACCGTGAGCGCGTCGGTGACTGCTGCTGTGGTGGTAAATTTGAGAGCGCCTTGAGCTGAAAAATGAAAATCAACGGCACCAAGCGGTGAGGGACGGTATCATGTCACATTTTGAAGGCAGGTCAACCAGGCACCGACCGATCCTGCTGGCATGGCAAAGGCGCCAGCAAACAGGAGAGTAATCTAGATCGTGGTATAGGTTTGCCTGTAAATTAAATTGGGGACCGTAAATAGGAACGAATGGAATTGTGACCGGGGATGTCGGGGAAGGGGTGGTTAAAATGAAACAACAGGCCTACTTATTATTTCAATATATTTTTCGCGTTTTCTATTAGTTTTTTCTCACAAAAAAAGTTTGCGACTATTTCCAACATCGATTGGGATGATGGCCCATACCATATCGTCACGTTAGCCGTTTCATAGGTATCATTGTTCGAACAATACGTTTAAAGCATATAACACTTTTTTCAAAATGTTCGTGTATCTGTTTAACATCTGACATTAGACCAAGACGACTGCTTTTAGAGAGCTTATTAAGCTACTTGGCACCAAATCCAGACACTTTTCGATAAACATTAATCTAAGATAAAAAGGACGCCACGGTTTTATTAGATAAAGTAAAGCGCTTTGATGGTAATATTTGGTGCAATTTTCATTAATTTTTTAATAAAAAAGAGAAAAAGCCCGTATAGAGTTTAGAGGTAATAAATCGAAGAGAATCTACTTTAGTTAGAAGGAATAGTTTTTGCAAAAATAATAATTCTAATGAGGCCTGGCCCTTGCTAAATTGGAATCACCTGGACTTTTTTGGCTTTTTAGATACAACATTATATTGAAGACTTCACGCTAAACAAAATAGAAATGTCCCTATCGCTTTGATCTCTGTGTTTCCAGGTTACAGTTTCTATTTGCAGCAAAGTCCGTGAGAGTGAAAAGGTAATGCGCTATTTAACTTCTCTATGGCTTCACAAAGAGGCGATCACTATTATTATTATTACTATACGCCTACATAATCAGTTTCGTAACATAAAATTTGATAAGAGTACAGGACAGATGGACGCCAGTCTTATAGTTGTTATGCGCACAAACCGCGCTTTTGTCATATTTTTTAATTAGGATTATTAAGGGCTCAATCAGAACCGTTGCATTTTTTTCCGTTTTACATTCATTCAAAATTAACACTAGCGGCAAGTTTCAAGAATGATTTTGACGTTTGAATAGAAAGTATCTTCTGGAAAAGTTTTACTTTTAAAGGGAAACAAGTTTCATTTTATTATCATCGAAAATTTTAACACGGATAGGGTACAGCCATTATAGTACTGATGTTGTTTAGTATTACGGTTCTCGTTCCAAGCTCAAATGTTCCTAGCGACTCTGTACCGGCCAATTTGTTGCGAAACGCCACACCCTTTTAATTTCAGGCTGGCACTCACTATTAAATAGCTACTATAGAAATGTAGAAAATTTAACTTTGAAAGTAATTTCAACATAATAAAAATCTTCTAATTGTTGCCTTTCAGTTGGTATAACATGAACGAAGCTCGCTATCAGCGTGGACAAAAATTTGCTTTACTTGACGACATATTACACAGCGTATGCTAGAGTCGGCTGGCCGACTGAGGAAAAGACATTTCATTATATGTCTTACAATCGAGTAGTCCCTTAGGGATGTAAGTACCGCCGCCGTTGGACTACAGCCGGTGAGGCGTACGAGTGCACCTGTCAGCCACCCAGCCAATCCATTGCATCTTTTCAACCCACGCCTTTCTGCCATTCATTCTGACTAAAGAACACAAACAGCATTTTGTTGGATAAAGCAACCGTATTTTGAATTATATCTACAAACTTTCTTCTATACATGTTTGATAGTATTTTCCGTTCGCTGACCTGCTTGCCATTGCGCAAAACCACTCGCAGTGCTCTTCCAGCAATACTAAGAATGACGATAATCTACTTTAGTTGTCAAACTAATTTACTGATTTCCTCGATCAGAATAATGGCATTTACGCCTTGACAAACTGATTGATATGATCGTATAGCCCATTGCAGGGACTTGGTGATCTATATAAAGAAAATACGACTTTGCATTTACTACTACTAATAAGGTAATCATACTTGAAGTGCAAAAGATAGAATTACTACGGTCGTCACGTACTTACAAGCGAACCATTTCACAGGAAACCTCATCGTAGTCGCCCGAAACCCTTGCCTTTATTTCAGGACTGCTAAGGGCTTTTGAAATTCGTTCTCCATGAGATATTCTATTCAGTGAGCCTGGAACTGAAAATGCAGCTGAAACCGATTTGTCAGATACTAGCAGCTATCATCCCTTCGTGGATTCACAGCAGAAAAAGAAGCGTTTATGTGAACAGCGTCCATCCATTCTACTCTCGCAGAACTCTTCCCACGAATCTTCATAGATGAGTTTTCCGCTAAAGCTACATTCAGATAAAAACCGAAATAGTACATGGGGAGCATATCTCATATTACTGGCAGAAACGATTTAAATGTTTTGGGCAGCAAAAGCACGGTTTCTGAGGCAATGTTATATACTACGATCTTCCACGAACGTAACGTGTTCATCTGATTTCTTTTCGTCTCAAACATAATTATACAACATGGATTACTTCGATATTCACAATTAAATCTGTATTAAAATCTGTAAATGTTATGTTTGTCGACTTAAGGCCACTTTTTGGTTCAGTCAGATATTTAATTGAAGATTTCAACAACGTTACTATTTTTAGTACTTTTTTTTCGCATTTTCCTGCAATAAATTTCTGACTGTATTCGTGATCAATTGTAAGTGCATCATAACATGAAAATAGATATAGGTGGCGCTTTCTTGATTTCGTTAATCACAGCGAAGTGAAAGGGATGCGACAGAGCGGTGTCCTTTGGATCTGCCAGTCCTGACGCACCGTCTTCCGATACAGGCTGCGTTTTCACGTTCTATTTTGATACAGAACGACAAGCTGCATCTGCTGTCGCTATTCTTCATTACTTGTCTATATGAGACCTCTGATGACTAACCGAAACATGACAATGGTTCGTGGCGATATTTCCAACGTGTAAGACTGAAACTAAAACTACGATCGATCAGTTACACTCATCTATTTATTTTTGTCAAATATCAGCTTTTGAAACCTTTGAAGTACATACAAGTCGCATACTACACTTGATATGTTTTTCCGTACCACACACGGTACGGTTCTACGAGCTTGACTGGCGGTGGTAACATCCTGTGAGACCGATCGATGGTTCACGAGGTTATTTAAAGCCTATCAATGACTGTATTATACATTGTATGCATATTCCTGATATTCGTGTGCTAGTTAGGAACTGAAAATACGTCGCATGTATAGTTCATCGGTGCCAGACTATACGGATGTGTCCTCGTAAACTTCGTAGGAATGCAATCGTGGACGGGTGGTTGAAGACACAACCGGTCATCAATGGTATTGTCAAAAGTTTGATCTCTGTTATACTATATTTTTCGAATTATGTTTGCAGTCTCTAAGCATCAATACCTCCATTAAAATATGGTAATTGTATGTAACAGTACAAATAAAACAATTCGTGGTCTCCTTACACTCTGTTATCGATATTCATCCCATTGTTCATTTAAAGAACACATATCAAGCCAGTTGCACTATGCATTTTACTGAACAGAATAGACGATAAATGCAACTGAGTTGAATCAGCAACATGACATAAATGGGCAGTTAAATGAACGGATCTATTCTTTGTAGCGACCTCGCTCCGTCCGGAAATTAGCCCCACTGAATGAGAAATTCACGCACCGACTAACGATGTTACCTACATTGTCTTTAGCGTCAACCGAAAAGTTCTGCATTTTTTTTTACATGTAAAGGAGACGAATTGTCAGAGTGAGCTAAATTGGTGTCAGCTGACCAACGCCTTTTTCGATACGCTTCCAAGTGGTCTTTCGTCCATCGCAGCCCCACTTCCCGCTGGCCCAGTTTACCCCTTCCAGAGCATCCGTGCCACACACACCCATCGTGCTTTCGTAGTTGAGTCAGCGTAGCGACATAATGGTCTGCTAAAGCAAGTGAACCACGCTAGTGAGTAGCGAGCCGGGTTGAAAAAGAATTGGTCGTCACAGAAGCCATGCGACGGCCAGCATTCCTTCACTATTTGCTTCTCTTCGTCCGGCACGGGGTAAGCTGACGTTAGGTATTTCTAAAAGTAAATGCACCCATACGAAAGGACGACTCATGGAAGGTGGGAAACCCGTGTTGCAGATAGACAGGGGCTCCTTTCAATGGAAACTCGAAATATTAAACGATGGAAACGTCGACAGGAAGCGCTGGAGGCGGATATCCATCCAGGTACGAACCGTCCTTTGCGCACTTGAAGCCACAGCGGTAGCGACAGTTCCGAGTCCAGTCGTTTGTCGACAGCCTTAAAAAATTCTAAAAATCTGGCCGCGAAACGAAAATCTAGTGAATCATTTGACGCCAAAACATCGCTCTGGAGTCAGTAGCTTGGTCAATGTGAAGACGCTCACGTTGTGTACGCTTCCCGTATGGGCGCTCGCTGAGTGGCTGGCTAACGCACAAATTCTGTGAGCACACAATGTCACCGAGGCTTACCTTGAAGCGGATTTCCTCTTCGTTTCAGTTCCGTTGCGTGACTAATACTTGTGCTGGGTCATGTCTCTAAATTCTGTAAGATCGATTACTATTGTATTTATCTAAACTAAACGGTGCTCTATGTGCATAATAGTAGCAGCTGCACTATTTTTTTTTTCTTTATCTGGGCTATATGCTTTACGATGCATTTAGCCGAAAAACGAGCGACTTTTATAAAAGAAAATTTATCAGTATATTATAGAACACAATGGCTCACTTACTAAGGGGCCTAAACACAAGGTTTCGAATTTTGCGTCCGATACTGCCGTCGCTTCATATCGCTGATTCCTTTCTGTCCGTGTTAGGTTCCAAAGCCGTACTACATCATGTGCGTCTCGATTTAGTAGCCATACACACTGTTATTGCATCGTCATTAGCAGCAATCACTAGCGACCTGTATGACACTATCTTCGATGGCCCTTCGATACGAAATTGGTCCTGTCATATACCTTACTATGGGTTTTTTCAAAAAATTATTTTTACTTTGGCACGAAAAGTTTCATTTGACAGCTCATGGCAAAAGAATTGCGTAGATTTAAGGTCAAGCTCCGTTTTGCATACAGCCCCGCATAGAACAGTATTTGGTAATTCTGCAGATGCATCAGTTGATTCTACGGACCCAATTTACTTCGGCTAAACCATAACAAAGCAAATGAAGTGCTATATAGGAAACCTATAATCAAAGAGATGATTCAACAATACAGGGCCGTACAGAGCTTTGACAATTTGAACGGGAACGTTCTTGTCTAAAATAATGTATAGTATGCAATACAATGTAAAATTCTCAAGCAGCATACGGGCTTTGATCTATTCATTTTTCTATTCATTACAGAATTTCTAGTCTAACCAAATATTTTCGTTCTACTTCGGAATACTTTCAGCTTAGTGACGAAGTTCACACGGGACGAGCAGCTTGTTGACCATTGCGAGGCTAAAAGACATACTGAACTCCGCTTACGCTGCGCTCACGGGTTACGCTAGAATATGTTTGAACGAATTAATTCATCTTTAGAGCGGTTCGTTCTATCACTAAGTGCAGTTAAAGTGTGATGGTTTTAAAAACTGAGTCTTTCCACACTTTTGAGTGGCAGTACGGAGGCGTTAACATATCACACTATACCGTGAATAGCGACAGGGCAGAGACGCGACAAGAACCCGACGAAGAATGGATACCATTATGACATAGGTTCCGTTAGCTGCACATAATCCGAATAAGCGTCGATAGGCTCGCGTAGAGTTTTAGCTGTTTCTCTAGCGGAAAAGTTTTAGCAGTTCACGTCAGAAACGCATCCAGAATCGAGAAACCCGCCATCATGACACACTTCGACTCGCAATTGCCAGCTGACTAGGAAACTATTCCAGACACATAATCATAATAACAAAGTGGAACAAGAAGCTCGTCAGCTAAACCGCACATGCAATACTCACTTTGTATTAGGCTTATTCTGCATCCTCGGCTCCTGCAACTGGACAAAACCTTTAATAAGCATTGTATTGGCCATATCTCATTCGAGCTAGTTATCATGCATTCGCGAGTTTGCTATTGAACTTATCTAGTCTCCAATTGTTGGATATAATTACATTTATGTCCCTCATTCCATTGAACACGTCTGCCAAGTCCGCTTTCTGCGAGCATATTTCGCTCAATAATCAAGCTAGTTGAGAGGAAGTTTACCTATCGAAATATGCGAGCATACGATGATTAAGCAAATTTGAGAATAAAATTGTTGTACCGAATGGTGCTTCAAATAGAAGCAACAGTTCTCCTCCGAAGCATTAACTTCGATTCCGGTAATTTAGTAGCCGTGATAAATTTCTCTCCCTAGGCACCAAATATGGCTATCGAAAATGCTTGAGTGAGTTCTTAAAATGCAACTTTCATCGAAAGTATTTTTCGCTGGCTATATATAGCTCTAAAGCTCTAGCGTCAGGAATAATAGCATAGCCAGAATTCAAGCTGGAAAAATTACGCCAGAAGCGAATTGCAATACCCAGTTTGGTAAATGAATGCACCGATAAATCCAAGAAAAAGACATACAGCCTTCATACGACGTTGCTCTAGAGGGGATTTATGTTTAAGTACTCACTCGCTATAGATCGGACGCAACAAGGTCGAACAGGGCCATTTCCTCCTGTTTCGATTTGCGGGTCGCCAAGAACGAGATCCCTATTGACGTTTACTCAGATGGATTGTTATGGCGAGCAATTTAAAGCTGAGGACCGTTTGGGATCGTTGGTCTCCCGAATCCCGGGAGGTCAAAAAAGAATATTAGAAGAAATAAACACGGGATGTGTTTTTCTCTGATAATTGTATTGAAATAGTATCATCGCTTGCCACCATCTTTGTTCATGATTTCTAATCGGCTTTCTTTTCGTACTTGTCGCTATTAGTACTGCATTTGGCGCACGTTATGTCCCTGCATACTTTACAGTACTTATGTTCTTCTTTAAGCAAGATCTAGTTAGGTTATAAATGCAGGTTAGATGAGTGTAGAATCAAGCCGGTTTCACTATTACGAAACTGAGCGAATTCAAGTAAACTAAGTACATAATTTATCGGCGCGATGGGCAGAAAGGCTTTTCCGAGTCTTATTTATTTTTAAAGCAGTTCCTGACAACGCATGGTAATTGTTATTCAAGTTATAATTTCAAGCATTGGCCACAAAAATAACAACTGATCACTTGATGACGCTTAGATACGAGTAGTTCTCCGAGGCTCACGTTGTGTCACTGTAGATTTCGAATGCATTTCGTTATTTGCGTATTTCGAATGTGCTCCCATTCGGCTATGTGGCGATGAGCGTTTGTTGAGTAAGAACAATGACAAATTTTAGGAAAAGACTCTTGAGTGCAAAGTGGAACGTAAAAATCACTGGGAGCGAACGATTACTGTTGTTATACTGCTGTTATATATAGGATATATTGTTAATATTAAGAGATGATCTAGATTATTTAGGCTGAGCGAATTTAAAAATCGCTGCAAAAACATTATATAATGAAGTAGAATAGTAATTGAGACAAGAATTACCTACTGAACAGGACGGATTGGTTTGAAATGTAGCATGAGCATGGTAATAGCAAATGAAACGCAGGTTGGCTTTGTAGTCAATGCATAATCAATCACGTAAATAAATGTTTTAACTTTTACGTCCGGTATCGCCATAGGAATATGTTCAAGAAACTGGCATTTTTCATTCGCCGGCATTCATCCGGAATTCGGCCGTTTACTCAGCCGCCTTCGAATCTAAACCACCGCATTTTGTTCGTTACCCTGCTTAGCGAATGCTTCATTAGTGTATCAATCGGCCAATTTTATGATCTAAGCAGACGCCATATGAGAAACAACCAGCTAAAAGGTATCACAAAAACACCACAACAACTTCAGCTTACCATCGTCTATTCTATTTGTGTCCATAACTTATAGTTAGCGATTAGGGTCAATGTCGAACGACGGAAAATTGCTGCCTTCAACAGGTAGTCCATTACCTTCTCCTAGTAGAGAATATTTTCATTTGTAAACAATGTGAGGGTAAGGCCTGAGGGTGCCAGCTCCGCCCACTAGTTCCGTAACAACTCTCGAGATGTTTGCAGCGCCCCCATTCATTCATCCAGCTATCTTTTGTTAACCCGCTTAAGCAAGCGTAAGCTCGCAAACAACGAACCGCTCGTTCTCTTATGGCATCCAACGTAAAAGCACAGCGCTTACGGTGGATCTTGCCTCCATTCCATTTCCCTTTATCTCGTTTCCTCTTGTTGGCCGTCTAACTGGTTGCTCGATTCGTTCATTTGCTTACGCCGGCCCTAACCCATTGGCCTAGGTAAAATTAATGAAAGTCCACACAGTCATGTACTCGCACGATATCCTCTAGAGAGGATGCTTAGGTAGGTTAGAAGCACAGAGATACAGCAACCAGCGGGGTGTGGGGCGGAGCGGGGATAAAAGGGTCGATATTTATGCCGAGTGTGCACTCGCAAAGAATAGAGCAGGGGACAAAGAAAGTCAAGGAGATATGCAGCCCACGGCTACGGCAGAGATTAAAACGGCTTTATGTTAATAGATTCTTACCGGCCAACTGGAGGTCTGGCAAAACCTACCAATCGCTTGCAAAGTTTTTTGCTAAGTTCGTACATTCACGTTGTCTTAGCCACGCCAAAAGATACTTCAAGATAGTTTCTGACCAACTGGAACACGTGGTGGTTCTGGCTAGTGGCTTTGAGATCTGGGTCGGCCTGCTTCTAAAACTATACGACTCACTAATTAGACTCTGGGCAATTTAAACAACATTTAACGTTCACGAACTGTTCCGTGGCGTATGGTGTTTTATATCTATGTAGAATAAATGTATTTAATAGGGGATGCACATAACAGTTTGTGCTATTGCGATATTCTAAAACGGGACAGAGCACTTCTTTTTTCTATGTTGTGGAACGTCAGAAACAGGTGCTTTGGAAATAATAGGCTTAGTGATTTGTTACCGTACAATGAAGCATGTGGTTACGAAACTAGGACTATAAAGGTTAAAACATCCCATATTGTGAAGCTATATATTGCACCGGGTTGAAGGGTAAACGGGTTCACTTTGGAGGGCTTTCACCTTACTTGTGAGTGGCACAGTCACCTGGCAATATGGTAATGGCTTGAAATAACCACTTTTTGGAAGTGTTTTGTCAAAAGTTCATGAAATTGCAACAAATAAACGTTTTATGGAAAATTTATAATTACATTATTGATCAGATAGTTTGGCTGAGTCAGTTCCCATACTCTAGTATTGTACAATTGCGAAGTCAATCAAATATGTTATTGAAAAGCCGCTATTAGGTTTAGTGCAACAGCGTCGCGCCTTTTTATAGGTCGCTTGCAAGAGTCTGGGGGTATCTGCGCAATAAAGTTTTTTTAAAGACTTTTCTCACAGCAAGAAATCTACTTAACGAGAATTGCTCGTCAGACTGGTAAAGACGTAGTTTGAAAAGAAGAGATTTCTTCTAGGATAGAAAAATGCTACCGTATACGTATTTATCATAAAGGTTACATGATCATTTGTCTCGTATTTTTGGGGTGTACATTTAAAACCATAGGCTTATGGAGCCAGGTCTTAAAATAGTGATAAAGGATAACCTTCTACCAGTAACAAAACACAAGTCGACGCATTCAGTAACTGCTTAGTAACACACATAGGAGGGGTACAAACTAAGCTCGAGTTGCGCGCTCGTATATTTATGCTTACGTTAGACCAATTCATGTATAAAGCTATCTGTCAAAAAAGTTACGTTATTTAAATCATTTTAAACGCGTTCATATGTATATGTCATGTAATGGTCAGCGTAATTATAATATTAAGTATTAATTAAATGTATAAGACGGCGAACGATTCTGAAGCACTCATTCCTTTCAGCTAACGACCAAGCGAAGTAAATCTGTTTCATTTTTAATGGGATCCTTGGCTATATGGCCGCGTTGGTCAGCCGACCTGTCGAGTGCCTCAGTGGTCGGGCGGCATTGCTTTAACTGGTGTTCGAAGAAGCCCAGCCAGGGACATGGATGAAAGGGTCCGAACTCTTAGGAGAAAACCGCGGGTGTATAGCCGGTCACATGATATTGAAAGTGTCACAGTACTTGCGAGAGACGTCTCGTGTGTTGTTAGATTCGTGTACGTAGAATATGACTTCACGATGCGGCTTCAAAAAGGAACTCTACAACCAATTCTAAAGGAAGTCTAGTTCGAACAGTTAATCTGTGCTAGATAAGAGCTGCTAGATGAGTGGGGAGCAATGCTAAAACTGTGCGTGCTCTTAGCTAACGTCCAAAAATTGCGAAATCGTCTTTATCAGAGATAATTCTTACGCCGTACCAGTTTGAGCGGTGCGAGACTATATGTCAGAGAAGCCCGATACTCTCTCCGGGAGGCGCATTTACTCAACAGGGAATATCTGCTGCTGCTGCTGTTGATGTTTTGACCAAGATCATATAAAGGCGCAGCGGCCGCCCTTAGGAGTTGCGGTTATCAAGGCAAGGTAAAATAGAGTAGAAGACCCCAAACGTGTTGGCACTGTGAACCTCGAAGACTATACTGCAAGACCGCCGACTTATATACCCACTATCAAAAACAGCGCTCTCAGTACATCGACGTTAAAAGAGGGATCAAAGATCTGTTCGATGGAAGGTTCGTGGGTTCATTTCTAAAGAAAGTAACATAACATGTCGTACGGGATCACGACTAGTCCTTAAGCCGAACTGTTGGTGTTTCCAATTTGTTGTCTGGGCGACGCGGAGGCAAATAAAGCTGTACGCCAACAGAGGGCAAGCTCTTTTCTGGACGAAGGCATATAGGCTAGGGTACGTGCGTACGTACTTGGGTGTGATTCGCGCGGACTTTTGGAAGAAAGCCAAGAAAAAACCTCCTTTTCTAGCCCATTAGGAGAGGATCACCACCGAAAAGGACTGAGCATCCACCCTTTCCACCCACGAGCGGTCACGATCACTACGCCTATTATTTCGACTGCACGACGTGCTTTAGGGCAACGGAAGATCGAATTGTGTAGGTATGTTGCCGCATATTCATAGAAAGCAGTCTGGACGGCATACGAAATCCACTCGTTATGCAAAAAACGGGGTCCCGCCCCGCAGAAATCCTGAAAAGCGCCAGACAACGTAATGTCAGTTTACTAAACGCTGAAGAATATCGGTCACATGATGAGGCATCATGCCAAATGAGCGTGTCCGATGCGCCATAATAAATGAATGAATAAATACGTGTCTATGGCTAATATAATTGCACAGCGAGAGACAGTGAACAACTCATTCCTGTTAGCAAATGACAAGGGCAAGTCAATCCGCTTCAATATATATATATATATATATATATATATAAGCAGGACAAATACAGCCGATTTAGTCAGCATCATGATGAGCTTAACGAGGCTACCTGAAAGGTGCGAATTGTCACCAAATGATTTATTATAGAAGGAGCAAGTTTCAGGTATCTGCCTGGTGCGTCTCCAGAGCATTATGAGCAGAGATCCAAAGACGAAGGATGGCCAGCATGATCACAAATGGTGATAATGGATGTCGACGGATATCTACGCTGTAGACGAAAGTGGACAAGCTTGATTTATTGGAAAAAGATGCCGCCGTAAGGCCACTAACGTGTGCAGCCACATCAGAGAGTAGGCAGACTAAATAAATCAGCCAAGCAGATGCTCACAAAAGTTTACACCGAATCAGATCAGCGAGGAAAATTATAGCTAAAAAAACAAGTATTGAATTGGAAAAATTGAAACGAAAAAACAGTTGTATCCATATCTTCCTTCTTATACAAAACGCTTTCGCTACTTGACGACAGGGTGCCTTTCACCATACATATATACAAACAAACGAACAATAAAAGTATTAAGCAGTGTCCTAAGATGCGACAAGCTGCTGCTAATAAATTCATTACAAGCCAGTTATAACATCCAAGTAGAGATAGAGCGGTCCAATAATTTGAGCCAATTTACAATTTGCTAGTTATTGTAAAAGTACGCATTTCTCAAATCTGCCAAAATGCAGCGTTAGCGTATTTCTCAGTCACGTAAAAAACAAAATTACTGGAGCACTTAAGGTATAATTTTATAAGCGCTTTGTGATTCTTGCTGATCGATCATTCATCCGTTCTTCTTATATTTACTTGATTTAGGTAACGTAAGCAAAGTATCTTTTGACGTTAACTGGTGCCAGTAAATGAATTA